TGACACAATTCGTAGGGGCATCGCCACTGCACAGACATCCATCCCACTTAGCATACCTTATACTAAACCTCCCTCAACACTTTCCTCTTTTGACCTTGCTACTACCGAAGAGGTCACTAAGGTTTTCTCAGAAGCCCGTCTCACTACCTGCCCCCTGGATCCTGTCCCCTCACAACTACTACGGTCACCCTCTTCTTCCATCCTATGCTCTCGCACTCCCATCTTCAATCTTTCCCTCTCTACTGATGCCTTCCCCTCCCCCTCTAAAGCATGCGCACATCACTACCATACTTAAAAAGCCCTCCCTGGACCCCACCAACCTGAACAACTTAAGACCCATCTCCCTGCTGCCATTTACCTCTAAACTCGTAGAACGTTCAGTCTACAATCGCCTGAGCTCCCACCTCACCGACAACAACCTTCTTGACCCTTTACAGTCTGGCTTTCGCTCAGTGCACAGTGACATATTCGCATGGATGTCACTCCACTTCCTCAAACTTCCTCAAACTCAAACTTTCCAAAACCGAGCTCTTAGTATTCCACCCAGCCCGTGCCCCCTCCCCTGACTTCTCCATCAAGATCAATAACACAATCATCAGACCCTCGCCTCATGCCAGGGTACTAGGTGTAATCCTGGACTCCCATCTGTCCTTTCAGCCCCAAATCCAATCACTGTCCAAATCTTGTAGACTTCACCTCCGCAACGTCTCCAAGATACGCTCATTCCTAACCTCGGAAACCACTAAGCAACTTATCCACTCCCTTGTTATATCTCGTCTTGACTATTGTAACTCCCTCCTCATTGGCCTACCTCATCGCAAGATATCCCCTCTTCAGTCTATCATGAATGCTGCTGCCAGAATCATCCACTTTACTAACCATTCTGTATCTGCCACCCCTCTCTGCCAATCCCTCCATTGGATTCCCGTTGCCCAAAGGATAAAATTCAAACCACTAACAATAACGTATAAAGCCATTTATAACTCTGTCCCAAATTACATCACTGATCTTGTCTCTAAATATCACCCAAACTGTACTCTCCGCTCCTCGCAAGACCTCCTACTCTCTAGCTCCCTTGTCTCCTCCTCCCATGCTCATCTCCAGGACTTCTCCAGAGCTTTCCCCATCCTCTGGAATTCTCTACCCTAATATATTAGACTATCGCCTACTCTGCTCACTTTTAGGCGATCTCTGAAAACCTATCTCTTCAGGGAAACCTATCCTGCCCTCAGCTAATACTGGAATCTTCTACTCTTCCGACCAGTCCATCCCCCACAGTTACTACCTTTTGTACCACTAGCCCCTCCCTCCTAGATTGTAAGCTCCAAGGAGCAGGGCCCTCAAATCCCTCTTGTATTGAACTGTATTGTTGCTGTATTGTCTCCCGTTATATTGTAAAGCGCTGAGCAAACTGTTAGCGCTATATAAACCCTGTATAATAATAATAATTAAAAACTCATCATATGTTAAAAAAACTAGCTGTATAAGAAACAGGTTTACACACAGGATTTGGACCAGAGAAAACAGTAATCTCTTAGTTGCTAAAATGGGCAAATAAATCAAGGAATATAATTTTTAACCATTAGGCTTATTAGTAGGGATGCAGTTAAAGTGGAATTCCACCCAAAAGTTGAAGTTTCATTTGTCTGCCTCCTCCCCCCCTCCACTGCCACATTTGTCAAGTTTTTGGGGGGAGTGGTTTTGACAGGTACTCGCTCCCACTTCCATGTCAGTATACCATTGCAATCTAAGCCAAAAGTTTGCCCCCCCACCTCCTGCAGGCTTCTGGAACACTTCAGAGGTCCCAGATGACTGCAGCCCATTAACAAAGTCCAGCGCGGTTTGTGCATGCGCAGCAGGAAACGAACTGTGAAGCCTCAAGGCTTCACTTATAGTTTAAAATAAAAACACAATTGGGATCCACTGCAAAAAAGAATTTAAATAATGTTTTGCCGACTCACCCAATAAAAAATTGAGGGTGGTGTCCTCAGGACCAGATACAATGATTTAAAAAAAAAAAACGACCTGTGAGTAAAGAACCCACAAGAAAGAAGGTCCAGCAGAGAACAGGTCTGCGGCTTCAAAACAGTAATGTTTATTGACAAATAAATACCACATATCAAAAATACAGATAACCCTCCACCCTGCACAATAAAACAAAAATTACAACGTTGCCATATAATAAAAGCACCCACCCGGACATACAGGCAGACTCTCCAATCACGCAGGACATACAATTACAGGATGAAAAAAATTGCAGGCCTAGAGCCCAATACCTGAGCTAATGGGGCTGAAAGCAAACTAAAATATGGGATGACGTGTAGAGAGAGAAATATGGAAGTACTGGGGTGATCATATATCACTTATGGCCACAATAGTGCCAAGTACCTAAGTCTGTAACTATGGAGGCAGTCCATACAGCCCCAAAGGTGTATAGTGCAATCAATGGTGACCTGTAATGTCCGCAGGGATGCAGGGGGAGCAGGCTCTGGAGGATAAATTGGTGGTCAAACCACAGCATCTTAAGACAGAGCATGTCTGCCTTTTCGGAGTAGGACATGTCTATTACATTTTGGAAAAAAATCCCACATGTATCTTGCTTGACATTTGACTTCAACCTGGTGATGCAGGTGTTCATAATGAATCATGTCTTCTAGGAGGGTGATGGGTTTTCATCAATATTTTGAGGATCAGCAGCAGATTGAGGATCAGCAGCAGCACTATATGAAGATCAGTAGCATTGTTGATAGACAATGGGGAGAATTACTAAACCTGGTGCATTCAGAATATGGTGCAGCTGTGCATAGTAGCCAATCAGCTTCAAACTTCAGATTGTTCAACTAAGCTTTGTAAAAAAACAACAACTTTGCACCATGCAGTTTTAGTAAATAATCCCCAATATGTGTGAAAAACACACACGTGTGTGTGTGTGTGTGTGTGTGTGTGTGTGTGTGTGTGTGTGTGTGTGTGTGTGTGTGTTTGAGTATGGTGAAGAATTTGGTGGGATATTTTTTTTTGCATGAGTTCCCCCTTAAAATTAATTTCATACCTGAAGGGCCTATGATTAATTAGGTGGAACCCCCACTTCATTTTATAACTGCCTCCAGCTCCCTTGCTAACATGACCGTGGATTCTCTTATGTAAGTGAATAGGGACAACTACTGTCAATGGTTTTTAAAGATTTGGCAGTGGGCAGTGGTTTCACAAGCATTGTTAGCAGGAAGCTGTCATGTATAATAATAGTAGTAAAATTGCTATTAGACATGATGATAGGCTTCTGCTAAATGGGTAAATGTGTGTGTGCTAGCCCAAGCACACGAATAGCTAAGATTTGGGTCCTAGGCTGATCCCTAATGTTAACTTAATAGCAGAGTATTTGAGGAATGTGAGAATGTGAGAAATGTTGATTGTGGCATTCAGTAAAAAAGCAAACTAAATGGAATGTTCATCCGAGCACTGAGCAGAACCTCCATGTGCAAAAAGGGTTTATAACTATCCCCCCCATTTCTATCGAAAATTAAAATAATTATTAAGACTTTAGTTTTACTTTATCCTTCTACCATGCATGATAACTGAACACAGCTTTACCATTGTATTAACATTAAACCCATAACAAACAGACGAAAGAAAGAAAGCAAGTAAAACTATATATATAAATAATATATATATATATATATATATATATATACTGTATAAAACACACAGATTAAATAAAATAAACAAAAACAATGAAGAAATAAAACAAACATATATACATATGCTAACTCACCAGTGTCTTCTGGAGGCACACTTTTTCTTCATTTTGGTGTCATTGTATGTAATCTTAGCTGTCACCATGAGAAGTAGGTGAATGCTTCCACTGACTTACAAAATGTAAAGTTGTAAAACTTGTCAAAGTATACTCAAAGTTTTTGCTAACCAAATGAAAATCTGTTTTCTAAGTCTCCTAAGCAGCAGGAAAACCTTCAATGCTTATATCCTGCTAGTCTTTATGTATGGAGCTGAAATAGACTGGCAGAAATGTCATCCTCCTTGCAACAGAATAGCTGACAAGATGTCTTCTGAAATCAGAACCCACAATAAACTCTGAAGCTCAAGGTATTCTGTGAATTCCCTTGTCACATAGCATTCTGGGTGGTTTGGATGGCAAAAACACTGTTTGTAATCACCCAAAGGCATATATGCATTTGTATGTAAACACATTTAAACCAGTGTAAACTGATGTCAACACAGGCACATTACGCATATGCAGATAAAACAAATCTTCAACACCCAGGGAAATTTTTCTTGTGTTTTCATGACACAAACAAGAGGAATATGTGTGAATCAGGCCTTAGATTTGCCTGTTTTTTTTTTTGGCTAGTGTTGAATAATAAAATGGCAGTAGTATTTAAGTGTAAAAAAAAACCCAGCATTTCTTGTCTGTTGTACTGTTCCCAGGACTAGAGTTACAAACTGTATGAAATATTTTGTGTATCTAAGACATCACAAAGGTCACAGGTTCTTCATATTGCTCTTTAACCACTTGCCTACCAGGCACTTATACCCCCTTATTTACCAGGCCAATTTTCAGCTTTCAGTGCTGCCGCACTTTGATTGACAATTGCGCGGTCATGCAACATTGTACCCATATGAAATTTTGATCATTTTTTTCTCATAAATAGAGCTTTCTTTTGGTGGTATTTAATTTACTTTTTGCGCTATAAATAAAAAAACTGCAAAAAATTTGAAAAAAAAAAAAAAAAGTTTCTTTTATAAAATTTTTCAAACAGGTATTTTTTCTCCTTCACTGATGTACGTTGATGAGGCAGCACTGATGGGCACTGATAGGTGGCACTGATGGGCACTGATAGGCAGCACTAAAGGGCACTAAAGGCAGTACTAATGAGGTGGCACGGATAGGCGGCACTGATAGACAGCACTAATGAGGTGTCACGGATAGGCGGCACTAATATGCAGCACTGATAGGCGGCACTGATAGGTGACACTGATGATGGGTACTGATAGACGGCACTGACTGGCATCACTGCTGGGCACTGACTGGAGGCACTGACTGGCACAACCCCTGGGCACTGACTGGGGGCACTGACTGGCAGCACTGGTGGGTGGCACTGGTGGGTGGCACTGGTGGGCAGCACTGGTGGGTGGGCACAGGTGGGTGGCACTGGTGGGCACAGGTGGGTGGGCACAGGTGGGTGGCACTGCTGGGCACAGGTAGGTGGCACTTCTGGGCACAGGTGTGTGACACTGCAGAGTGGCACAGGTGGGTGCACTGCTGAGCACAGGTGGGTGATCTGCTGGGCACAGGTGGGTGATCTGCTGGGAACAGGTGGGCGGAGCTAGTGGGCGCACTGCTGGGCACAGGTGGGCGGAACTTGCGGGTGGTACTGCTGGGCACCGATCATCAGGGCACTGATCATCAGTGCCCTGATGATCGGTGCCGATCCCCGCTCTGACAACTGCCGGTTCTCGGCAGTACTTTCCTCACGATCTGACAGCATGAGGAAAGTGCAGCCGAGAACCGGCACTTGCATTTCCCTCTGATCAGCGTGTCATTGGACACCGCTGATCACGTGGTAAAAGGCCGCTGTGATTGGCCTTTTACCACATCACGTGATCAGCTGTGTCCGTAGGACACAGCAATCACGGAGATCGCCGGGTGCGCGCCCCCTGGGGAGCGCAGGAGAGCGCGTTCTGGAGAGGCCGTCATATGACGTCCACTCAGAACTGGCCGGCCGCAGTGCAGCCGTCATTCGGCTATCTGCGGTCGGCAACTAGTTAAACTACTCAGTATGGGTTCTCAGCTGCAGTAGTATGAATTTACTTTCTAAGTAACTTAAAGATAGCAAAGTCAAGCTACACTCTCTCAACAAGAAAGAAACTTTTCTTACAACATAAAATGTTAATCATCCAGCATCACAACTCAAAAACTATGGTAAACTATTCATTACACTATTGTTATTAGAAAATTTATGAAATATCTTTACAATAGGTATAATCTCTAATCATTTAAAGTCACAAAAATAACATATTTAAAACACTCCAGACCTATCATATGGATATTAAGCTATAATAAAATATAGTTTGAAATATGCATTTTTTTCTTAAAAAGCGAACAAAAACAAAAAAAAAAACTAATGAGCATCTAGATATTTGTAATATTATGTTATTATTATTATTATTATTATTATTATTTTTACTCTTCTTGGGTTTAAAGATGCACTCTGTAGTAGCTATCTGCATATCAAGCAAGGCATTCAACTTTTTTGCTCAACAATTACATTTATAGGGCATATTACTGCAGGAGTAGGCGCAGCTTTATTGGTAACATGAATGTTTACTTTGAAAAATGTATGTTCACTTTGCAAAATGTATGATAGTAAAGTGTCTATTTAAAATACAGTACTTATGTATGTGTGAGTGAACACTCTCTGTTACTTGAATGAATGGAATAAATAATAGTATTAAATATTGTCTGATCTGTACAAATACTTAAAATGTAAATAAAGAATTCTAACTATAAGCAAGGAATAGTGTATTAATAAAACTGCATTCTAGCAACAGGAAACATGGTAGACTGGCAGTCTCTTTATTATCCACTGGTCCTCCGGAGGTTTTACCCCCCTTCATGAGGAGGCCATTTATTGCTATATGGCACTGAGATGCTTTAACTGACATTTGCTCAGTCATGCAACACTGTACAAAAATTAAATTTATATAATTTGTTTTCACACCAATAGAGCTTTCTTTTGGGGGTATTTGATCACCACTGGGTTTTTTATTTTTTTGCATTATAAATGAAAAAAGACTAAACATTGTGAAAAAAAATATTTTTTTACTTTTTGCTAAAATGTTTAATTAAGAGTATATTAATTGATTTGTGGGCAAATTATAGCATCTATAAACAATGGTATAGATACTGGAATAATTTTTTTATACTAGTAATGGCGGTAATCAGAAACAGTGATAGTGCTCAAGAAATCTGACACTAACTGACACTGGGTGGCAGCTGACTAACTACCACTGACTTCTCCAGTAACACTAATACAGTGCTCAGTGCTAATAAAAAGAACTGTCATTGTGCTAATGACACATAAACATCTGGGGCGATCAAAGGGTTATCTGTGAGCTGTTTTACTATGGGTACTGTGTACTGTGTGTTTTTTTACTAGGGGATATGCCGGTTTTTATTCCAGGGAATTTTTGCAGGGAGATAAAAACTGGCACATCCACACTGACAGGAGAGAGATCTGTATTGTTTACATACACAAAACTCCCTCCGGTCACCGGATGGCATGTAAGGGAGGCAGTGACAGCACAGGTTGGCCGGCACACATGTGCCCCCTTTCCTGAAAAGTAGAATCATGTATATATATGGGATTCTGTGCAGGAAGACCACACTGTAGCAGTAAAGCCACAGTGCGTGGTCGGAAACTGGTTATGTTTCTACATATCTGATATGTGTAGGTGTGACAGCTGCACCCGAAAGTGGAATATCACTATTTGCAACATTTTGTCAATTGTCTGTAGTTTTAGGGCCAAATTTAATACAGCCATGTGTTGAATTCAAATGCATATTACTGTGCACAAGCTTCACAAATTTTGACCTGGTGGAGATCCTTGTGGCTGTGGTATCACTGTACAAATATTGTGACTGTAAATAGTCTTGCAATGTTTTTTTCCATTTTTCTGTATTGCCTATTTGATCATTTATTGCAAACATCACTTGTCCATACATAAATGTTACCTCTTCCAACAAGATTTCAAATTCTAGCTCACCAAATGCTGCTTTCTTCTTCTCTTAGTCCACTGCTTCACTCTGTGGGGTAGATTTACTAAAACTGGTGCACTCAGAATCTGGTACAGTTGTGCATGGTAGCCAGCTTCTGACTTCAGCTTGTTCACTTAACTTTTGATAATAAAACCTGGAAGCTGTTTGGCTTCTATGCAGAGCTGCACCAGATATTTGCACTTTTCAGTTTTAATAAATAACCCCTATGAATCATTATCTATTAAATTAACTTCAGAACTATTCACCACCACGGCACATTTGTTAGGATAGTCCTTCATCAGATGTTTTCTCTGTATTTTTTGCTTTCCACATCTAGCTTGAGGCAGTTCACTTTTTCGCCCAGCTACCCACATTTCTTCCCTATTTGTGAGGGTATAAATGTTCTTATAATAAAATCTTTAAACAATTCTATCACTTCTGACATGTTACATTTTGTTGAAGGTTCAGCTGTATCTTATAAATGTATAATACATACATTACACATCAGAGATTACAGAAGTCCTGAAGAAGCGGATTTCCTCTGTGAAATGCATAGACCTTGTTTCTCATCTCTATGTATTGTATTTAAATGCAATGCAAATTTTAACCTTTGTACTTCCTGTGCAAATCTATCCTTACAACATGTGTACATGCAATAAGTGATTTTAATGCCTTGTGTGGCAGTGGTTTATGAATCTTTGTAATAAAATATAATTTGTTTTATGTGGATTTTTTTCTTTGCATCGATCTACTGTTGGAGGTACTGTATATTGTAAGTCCCCTATTTTTTCTTTGTTTTGGTCCATTACTTGGTTATGGGGATGATACCTCCTTTAGTGTTTTTTGAATTAGGGTACACATCACCCCTCCTCTAAAGAGTTGGTTTTAGGATTCCAGTTATATCTTCAATCCTGTTCTCCTCACTCCTCTGACTGCACTATCTGTTGTGAAGCCAATGTTGCAGAGAAGGTTGCACTTTTTCCATTTTGTACTTTGAGTCATATTTGTTATAGTAATTTGCTCCAATTGCATACATTTGGCATGAGTTGTGCAAATTTATTTGCCACATTCACCTTCACTATGACATTTTGCCTGCTCCACAAATGATAAAGTACTCTCATTTGGTTTACATTTACCTGATCACATTTACACATAAAATAACTGTTGCTGCAGACCTTATAGGTATAGCATAACTGAACACTGGTAAATTCTTCGATATCTTGGATCTATATTAAAAACCTAAGTTTAGAATTTTTCTTTTTTTCAAAAATGCTCTATGAATGGTGGATCGGTGGATGAATAAATGGTCCACCCCTCCCTTCATAGAGTGCTTTTCATTGATGGAATTTATAGTACAACTTCTATGAATGAAGGAGGGCGGTGCAAAGGGCGGGCATAGTTGGCACTCTTGATGAGTGCAAATGATACATCTAGGGGTTTGTATTAACCCCTTCAACTCTGGAAGATTACCATTGCAAAAGTATTGGGTGGGGAGAAGATAGAAGATTTTAACTAAGAGAGCAGCCACCATTGCAAGGGGCGCTTCTCATTAAATGTAGGTACCATCCCTTGTGCTTATTAAAAAAAAAAAAATACAAAACAAAACTTAGGCTTTAACTTAGTTTGGGGTTTCTTTTATCCACCGTGTTATGTAATATTGTTGTCATCCCTGCATATTTTTAAGAAGCTGGACATCTACTTTATTCCAATCCTTACCCATTTATTAATTTTATCATGTATTTTATGTATTCAGTTAAAGGACGATCAGTAGGCTTCTCCTTTAACAAGACTGATGACTCTCCTTCTAGAGTCCTTAGTAATCCATGGCTCTCTTTAAGGTGATCGTATTTTTTTAAAACTCCAATTAGAGTAGATAATGGATTGAGTGCAAGGGAATGTAATAGTTTGCTTGTGACAGTTGTAAGGCAATTGAGATAGGGGTGAGGTACTGAGAGGAGCTCTCTGTTATTTTGTTCCAGCTGTTTAGAATTACATTGTACATCACCATGTAAGGTTTAAATTGTAATCCCCTCAACCTGGGCCTGGACTAAGTGTGACATTCTTCTAATGACCGTAATAAGAATTGAAAGAGAACACTAAGACATTTTCCTAACTTCTTTGACTACAGTATATTGAAGATGTTGACTTGTATAATTTAGTGGAAATAAAAAGAATGTTTGTTGCATTAGATGAACAGCATGGTATGTTTATTTTTAAAGTAAAAGTTCTTTAGTTCTGTCTCATCCAAATGTCTAGATCAGGGGTGTCCAAACTTTTTTCCAAGAGGGCCAGATTGGATGAAGTGAACATGGTGGAGGGCCGAACATTTTTCCGAACATTTGAACCATTACAATTAAATGCAAATAAATTATTTTATGCCAAGTTAATTGCAAACGACATATTTTTCATATCATAACATTAAGATCAACTGACAGCTGAGTTTTCACAATGTATTGAAAATAAATAAAAAAAAAAACTTACCTGCACTAATGTGAAGGGTGAAAAAGGTAGCTGGAGCTGAAGTCTCTGCTCGGCAGCCGGGAGGGGAAGAGAAACACACTTCACGCTGGAAGCCCGGCCCTGACGTCACCGCCCTCTGTCGCTCTTAGCGCGGCACAGTCACGCATGCGCACTGCTCTCAAGCAGAAGACTGTCTGCCACAGAAGGGAGGGCCGTGCGACAGCCGCATTTACACAGACCAGGGAGAACGCGCCGCAGTCAGGCATGTGCACTGCCCTCTGCTCTCAAGCAGAAGATTGTCTG